ACGGCCGAAGTATCGTGCTTGCCGAAGAGCATGACGAAAACCGGCCTCATGCTGGGCCACTATGTGATCCTTCGCGTCCTCCTTAACCCTCTCTATCTCGGCCTGGGCCTCTTCGGCTCGACGCTTCCCCTCGTTTTCTGCCTTTTGAAGGTCCAGCCGAAGAGTGTCGTTATTGCGCCTTTGCACGTCCAACTCCGCTGCAAGCTGGCGATTCGTAGCTAGGGCCCCCTCGGTCGCTGCACGGGCATCGACCACGGCTTTATCGGCCTCCTCCAATCTTTGCCTCATCTGCATCAATTCACTGATCGGCCCCATAGCAAGTTGGTTCACCAAGGCTAAGGACTGAGACTGCAGTTCATAGTAGTATTTCCACTTTGATACTGCGTCCAACTGACTCAGTAACTCTCGGCCCTGCTCTGAGAAGCCCTCCGGCCGAACGAGTGAATCGGCAGACACACCTTCACCCCAAAAGGCCCTAGACATCAACCCAGGGGGGACGCAAATTACCGTTCCACCTGGTGAAGACACGGTTTGTTTCGACCTTTTGGTTTTCTCAGGCCTCTCCTCGGCAGCTTTTCTCTTATGCCTCTCTTCGGTCACTTCCTTCCCTTTCTTCCCTTTTTTATGCTTGCGGGTCGGCGAAGGAGGAGTCCGATTGTCTTGTTCTGGCCGAGGCGATGGAGCAACTGATGAACTACCCATAACCCCGGAAGCTTTCACCTGTTGCACTCGACTGGCAAGGAGGTCACGAATGTTGAACTCGTTCGCACCACTCTTCACCATGATTCCTGCACGAATAACCAAGTGAACATCAATATGAATTTAGCTTAAGGCCGAAACTAGAAAGTCACTCACCTATCAAATCATAATCCCATCGGGATGACTCGACCAAGTTAATTAGCGACCTCGTCGGCAAACGCCGAGGAAGTTGAAGCAAAAATTGGACGTTTTGTCACTCTTCGGCTGTGAGAAGCTCGTCCGGCACTTCGTCATATGGCCGAGGGGCACGTGTCCAGTACAACAGAAACAAACTCCTATGACAAGGAACGAAAGGAAATGGAGTCTATCCCTTATACATCAATTGTTGGGAGCTTGATGTATGCTCAAACATGTACTTGATCGAATATAAGCTTTGTCGTAGGAATGTTGGGCCTATATCAAAGTAATTATGGAATAGATCACTTGAAAGTTACAAAGAAAGTTCTTAGGTATTTACAAGGCACAAAGGATTACATGCTCACATATAGGAGGTCAAATCATTTTGAAGTGATTGGCTATTCGGATTCAAACTATGTTGGATATGTGGACTCAAGAAAGTCTACATTAGGTACATCTTATTATGATAACTTTGCAATTGTCTTCTTTTCTAAGAATGGAAAATACTTTAAAGGAACAAAACATTTGAATTTAAAGTTTTTGTCAATTAAAGAAGAAATACAGGAAGATAAAATGTATATTGAGCATATTGATACAAAATTAATGATAATAGATCTGTTGACTAAAGATTTATCACCTAAAACATTTATTGGTCATGGTGAAAGAATGCGTGTTATGGATGTATATATATACATTATAGTTATAATGCTCGTATTATACGACACTTGTGAATTTAATTATAGTTGTTTTTGTTTATTTTATCATTCACATTAATACATTATTATTTTGGTGAGATGATAAAATACGTCTCAAAAAGGATGATATAGACATGTCTTGTAGTATTAATTAAAGTTGAGTTAAATTAAATAATTTGTGATACATGGAAGGAACCATGTTAAGATAACTTGCAACGACCATGATTCAATTATTTTAATTTAATTAAAGATGGTGACTTGTAATTTTAACGTGTGATACACTCTTGTAGTTTTAATGTTGAATCTTTAAATCATCACATGAGTCAAGTAGAAAAATGTTATTTAATCTAATAATGACTCACGTAATTAAGGAATGACTTTTAATGAAAATATGTCTAATGTGATGATTATGTGATGGTTGTTAGAGTTAAAATATATTAAGAGCCATTACAAATTAATTTAAAGTTATTAAAATTAATTATCTTCCTTCTCACATCATTAAGGATAATTTTGGTATTAAAAAATTGAAAACAGAGGTTATAGAAGTTAAGTTGATTTTTAGAAGTGTAATCTCTCTCTCTCACCAAGAGTCATTTTTACGCATCTTCAAAAAAAATTGATTTTTATGGAGAAAATTGTGAAAGCCTAGAAAATTGTAAAGAATTAATTAAAGAGATTTTAATACATAAAAACCAAGTAAAGAAAGTAAGAAAAAGAAAAACTACTTATGATAGAAAATTTTGAATTGCATTATAAATTTTGATATTTTTCTAGATTTGTTCATAAAAATTATGGAGTATAAAAATAATAAGAAGTATGTTATTCTCTTACATGATGAATCTTATAAGTGTTTGCAAAGGGTTCTAATGTGAAAATGCAAAGACATAAAATAGAAATACCGTTATTACATAATCTAAAGAGAAAAAATAAGAAGGCAAAATATAATTAATTTATATCTAAGTTAATTTATAAAAATTTCTGTCATGATAGCTTCTCCAAAAGTTTTTTTAACTCACATAATAGAAAAACTAATTTTATTTTTTTCTTTCTATCTTTTCTATTATTCAAAGTGTTTTGTGGGATGTTTATACAGAAAGATTCCTAATGAATCACTCCTAGTCTTACTTTTTAACCTTAGTCCGTCCATGAGAATACGATGACCCTTAATCATCCAACGCTACACCCGTAATTTGGATTTTCTGAAGCAATTTTTTCTCTTTAATCTATTTCAGTAACATTAATAATTATTAGATATATTTAATAATTTAAATTTAATTTTATAATTAATATAATT